CTGTTTGAAGAGATCAGAGGGTTGATCTCAGTGTTTCTGTTCCTTGTGTATGCACTGAAAATAAGAACAGCCTTCTCCACCTCGATCTGATGACAGATACATCCCTAACCAAGGGATCCAAGAAGGATAACATCCCATCAAAGTTAACTCTGTCAGAACAGAGAGGTACCATGTGTGTTAGGTAGGCTCAAGTTCATGGTTGTTTTATGCTAGATCTGAGAGTAAGATGCAAAGTACATCATTACTTGAACCATTAATCAAAGAGGAAGGGCATGGCTGTATTGTCCACACAGACACAAACAGCATGGCTCTGCCTGCGCTAAAATCTCATTTCAAAGCAATGGAAGCTGATTATCATAATTTCAGTATTAATATATTTAAACAATGCAACAGTCATTGCCTCAACAATATTAATGAAAGAGGAAGTTAAAAAAAAGCTCAGATAATATTGATATCTCTCTAAGAGTATGATATAGGGGTCAATTTACCATAAAATGAAGTTAACAAAATGGGTTTTGAAAGCAGCAAAAGAAAAGCATTGTAACACTTCAAAGTGAAATGTCTAATAACAGATAACAGTTCTGAGATGCAGACAAGTTATTCTGCAGAAAAGATTAGGTGTCATCATTTTTATTAGGCATGTCATCTTCACTTTCCCCAAATGATACTATTATTTTTTTTTCCTGAATGACATGTACTAGCATATTTGAGGAAAACTAAGTCAAAAAGAAACTACACACTGCCATGATGCTAGTATTAAAATCTCTAAGAATTCCAAAACAATCTACTATCAATAGACAGTTCATCTGTGCATTTTTCTTCATTATGGGAGTGCAAATCTATCATATATCAATTTGGATGGCAATAAAATAAATCCTTTTAAATAATTTGCTATTACCCAGTCAGATCACCTATAAGTATCATAAATATAGTTGGAATATGGTAATTTTTCCCTATTTTAAGTAAGCAGAGTAATAATGTGCTCATCAGATTCCAAATTTCAGACTAGAGACACCATAAAAGCTCATCTTTTTTCTTTTTTATTTTAAACTATAGTAAAGAAGCTGTTAAGATGACCAGAACAAAATTAATGTCTATTCTTTCTGTTGCTGAGAAAGCCTTTCAGTATTTATTACAGCTCACAGTGAGCTGCTATAATATTTAAGCAAAACATTGTTATATGATAATTACATATTTTATACTTGGGAATATATTGTACTTAAGAAACTACATCCATATGCAGGAGAGCATACTTTTAGGTATATGTGAGCCTTTTTTATAAGCGGCCTTTCTACAAATACAGTCAAGTGGATCTAGCCCATATAGAAGAAATGGAAGTCATCGCTATTCAGTTCAATACATTACTTCTCAGTGCAGGCAGAGGGGAGTTATTTTTGTGTAAATCTCAAGGGTTCTAATTCTAGCAATAAAATTTCATATTTATACAGTCAGCTCTTCCATATTTTACATGGGAGAGCTGAAGTTACAGAACAGAGAAATCTGTGAAAGAAATCATTTTATCCCCATACATAAGCAAAATTGTGGCTCTCAAATCCAACAGATGGCCAAAGTTGACTTTAAAATCCTACACAGAATCAGAAATTCACACCAAACCAATCTCTCTCTTTGAGTTAATACAAGAGTTTTCTCTTCCATTCACAGCTAACTGAGGACAACTTATTCTGGTGTAAAGCTGAGCATATAAACATGAAAGTGGTATTTATATTGTGATTATGCCAAGACCAGTATTATCCTTCTGAAACGTTCCCGCTTCCATAGTGGGAGAATGGCAAGCATGGCAGCAAAGCAGAGGTACAAAGTTCATACAAAGGAAGGAAAAGGCATCACTTTGACTCAGCATCACCTCACTTCGCAGAACTTTGAACAAAGTGGTGAATTTTATGTTCCTTTCAAAAGGAACAGTAATTGAAAAAGACATTCTGCCATTAAAAGCTTTTCATTTCATATCCACATTCTATAAAAAGTATCTAGCTGAGTAGAAGCTAAGTTATACATCAGTAAGGAATGAGTGGAAACTGGCCATGACTTCCAGCTCAGACCAGAATTCATTCGTTCATAGTTTTGTGCACCCCATAGATAATAGTAAGCCGACTGCACTTATGTCACTGCAGATTGTTAATTATATTTAAATTTCCCATTAAGCAGATGTGTTACTACATTCTTTACATTAAACTAGATTTGGAATAAAACTACAAAGTACATAAAAACATAAAGACAATCATTAATCTTCTTGGCACTGGAAGCACTGACTACAGCCAGCAGAGCTCTTGTTCATGGTATTAGGCCTTTTATGCATTCTTCTAAGTTGCTTTGCATCCTGCAAGACTAGATTGTGTAAAACAGAATGAATTATAGATAAAAACAAACAGCAAATCACAACGGGCATGTTGTAAACCTAAAGAAAATTAAAGTTTCAGTTCTGCAAAAAGAAGTGTAGAAGATGCGTCTTTTGGGAAACCAACACAACGGTTTATACATGTCAAGCATGTTTGGCAGTTGTTTGCTCCATCGTTGGGGAAATCAAGACATTTTAGGGCATATCTCACCTAAGATGAGTTAAACAATGGCAAAAACATTCCACTTAATGAATTATGCACCTTCTATTTTTAACTATGTTGCTTGTGCTGGGTTTGAATCAGTTTCCTGGATGAAGCTCTATTATGCAACTAATAGGCTAAAGAGTAAGGAAAACTGACAGATTTTAAAAAGCGCTATGGACAAACAGACAACATGACATTTTTATTCTCCCTGGAGTAGGGAGCTGGACATAACAGCTACACTTGGAAACAGCATGTCAGAGGTTTCAGTGAGTTACCCCAGCCCAGTAGGCTACGTGACAGGTTTGATGGCACTCGCGACAATCACTGGGGACATTTCTCATTTGTTCAAGTTCTAGAAAATTCAGGAGCAGTTTGTGACAGTAAGAAAAAAAGCAATTACATTTCTGAAGTTAAAAAATTATTTGAAGATAATAGATATTGAGAATCCTGCTAATGCCAGTTCTCTGACTGCCATGAATTGACAGACGCCTCTTCAGAAATGAACTTCAACACGAATGCTATGTCCCACAGCTTCAACCGCAGGGGTGTCGGTCAACTACAGCCTACTGTGTGTTACGTCAAAAACACTACCTTAATAAAGGTTTTCGGTGATTACTCTTAGGTTCAAAGAAAGAATAGGTGGAAAGATAAGAACAATCCTAAATTTTTCTGTTCATTTTCCAGGGAAAGCCACACATTACATATATGCATGAGAGGAGTCATTTATCACTAACAGTTCTAGTTTTAACATATAAAACTTTCAATGTCAAGATTACAGGTGGGGACATACAGGTACCAATTTCTCTCTCTTTGACACAATAGCTCCTCCAATTTGTGTTTCTTTTTAAAGACTATTTTATTTTACTTGCCATGTCTCAAAGATTTCTAAAACATGGATAATTATTAAAGGTCATATGTGCATTTTCTTTAATACAGAAAAGCATTAATGCTTCTGCATAGATACAGGAAGGAATTTATTTTTATTTTGTGACATATGACATCCAATAAGAGAAAGAAATTAGAGTCATAAAAATGGAGAAACAACATGAAAAAATAGAAAATAAGACTATTTAGCAAAGGCTTTATCTCTCAACTTGACAAAAAATGGAAAAAAATTTATATGCTGTTATATGTAGTAAATTTGAACATATTATTTACATAAATCAAATTCAAGATGCTGAATGTATAAAATAAAAATGTTTCATATAGTAAAGCAGAAAACCTAAACTGGACTATGAAATAGGACACTGTATCTGAATGAATAATTTATTTAGATACCAGCCAGCTGGTACAGTGAGTAGCACTTACTTCTAAACACATCTTGCAATAATTGTGTTCACGCATTACCACAAACATTTTAAAGTTTCATTTTTGAGAAATAAAATAAATAATTATTCCAGATGTTGGCACTGCCACATATATATGGATTACTGTAGCAATTTAATTATTGTTGTTACAATTCAAAATGTCATTTTTCTATCAAACATGCTTACTGAAAATTTAAATCAGAAAATGGTAGCAGATGAACAGTGAATTCCCTAAATATGCCAATTTTTTAATGCTCACAGCAGGATCACAGCTGTTAATATTTACTCAACAGTTACTATTTCTTTTATCTCCTAAATGAATATTAATAAAAGCAAAGATTAACTACACATATTTGTGCCATAGATTACTTTTAATCCATGAAATAAAACCAACACGTAGAGAAGGTAACAGAGAATACAGGCTCTCATTCACAAAAGGCCAGTCTGGTTTCGTAAAAGCAGTATACAGACTGCAAATCTTATTTTCTCATGTTACGAGATCGCACAAAAAATTCAGTGGCCAGTGGAATTGCTGTCGCCATTGTAATCTCTCAATGTAGTGTTCTGTAAAGGAGAAAGCCATACGGGAAAACTTCTAAACGTTATCAACTTACTCTATTCTGTTTCCTCTCATAATTATGCTCAGACACTTCTATTGCACTGATCAGTGATTTCTGAGTGAGCAGTTATTGAGACGTGGAGAGATAAGTACTAGATAAAATTGGACCTAAAACCAAAAGAAGATTGAAGACAAACTGGAACGCACTGGTCTGGAGATTGGGAATCCCACGTGCCCACTATGTGCTCCTCATCTCATAAAGAAATATTCTTGCATAGTGCCAGTAAGATGCAGTACACATTACCTTATACCTGATTTGAATAATTGTTTTTATTGTCAGGTAGGGTATGAATCTTTGCATCTCATATCAGTTATTTTCTTACTTAAAGTGCTTGATTTTTAGGAATAGCGAATAAATATATTGTTAGTATTTAGTAACATCTGTGAGCTTTTGAAGTCTATTACACAGCAGAAAGGTATGCACACACTCAGAGGACCAAGTATAATTTACCCTGCATTTATATTATCGTGGAATTTGCACACTACAGGAAGGTCTTGGTAAGTTCACCTTACCTCATCTGGTTTGGTGATACATTTTCCTTTCCCCGAACACTGGAAGTTATCTGAAGAGCTTCCCCCAGGCATGCAGGTATTGACTTTCACTATCACAGTCAAGCGTAGAGCCACAATGCATTTAGTAACTGAATCATTCAAAAAACCTTAAAAAAAAATAATTATTATTACTATATGAGAAAATATGCTAATACATAATAATGCTCTACTGCTACACAAACAAATAAAACTGAATTGAAAGAAACTGTCAACTAAGAACATAATTGCTCATATTTCATACACCTCTATCTAAATTTAATGCATGTAAATACAAATTAGAATATAGTTTGGAAACAAACACTCATTATATTGATTAACAAAAGGCAGACAGGCTGGGGAAACAGATCTACCTCCAGAGCTCTAATCTGCTATCATTTTTTTAGGTCTCAAATAATCAAATGCTTTTGCCTGCTACATTTTCTTATGTTAAAAACATATTTCCTTAAGTTTTTTAATGACAAGGAAAATTAAAATTAAATTCAGTGGAGAAAAATGTTTAAATTAATTTCTAAAAGTTACTTCAGCGTTAAAAAGTACACAGATCATAAACTGCATTACATTGGTAACAGATGGACCATCCCTTTGGCTGTATTTTTTATAAAGTTTTCGAGAGCATACATATACAAAGAAATGCTGTCAATCTGTGTATTTGCAATACAAATATTATTAAATGTCTGATCTGATCACTCTATAAGGTGATATACCAACTATAGACGAACAAAACATGAAAATAGGAGCATATGATGAGGAAGAAGAAAATTCATGAATCTCCGGCTAGCACTTGTAATTGCATGGAATTAAAAAACTAGTTGGTTGGAAGCCATTAAAACACATTGGAGCACAACAACATCCCTATCACCCATATTTCTAACAGATACATCTAGAAAATAAAATAAACAG